CTCCTTCACCAACTTCTTTCACAACCTCTTTGGTACGTAGCTTTCCACTGTCCTGCTACTGTACCTTCTTTGCATACGTACTTGGGCGTTCCGATCAGTCCGTCCTTCGCTAGCCAACACCTGCAGTTTTGGCGGATTGAGATCGCTGATATATATAAATAAATTGCAGATCTTTCTCCCTCCAAACGAGCTGCGTATTGACGCGTAGTGCCGAATCTTTGGATCCAGGCGCTCCGGCTCTCCCTCCAACCTTTGAAAGCGTCCCCTCAAGGTTGGATATTGTCTGATCTTACACTTCATAGAATGAAATGTATCCTATGCGCACCTATTGTATGATAGTCGATCATAACAAGGTGTAATTCAGCAATAGGCATCCTGACGTTGACATGTCGGTGAACAGGTCTTTTAAAGTCTCCCACAGACTTGGACATTTGCCATTGCAAGCAGGTCAGCTGGTGTTGCTATCGAGCAGTACAGCAGCGCTGGGTCTGATAAACTGAGTTAATGTGCCCGTTATTGAACGATAACAGAGCGATAAAGGAGTTTGACTAGATACATTGTATAATCAAAATTATAAGCTATTGGCTGGCGATAGCCATTCATTCTAGTCCATCGAGTCAAATTGACACGGGGGATTCAATTCAGTCTGAAGCAGCTGTGAGTAGATGATGGATGATTGATCTTGGGCTGAATATTTGGCAATGACTGTGGCCTTTAGTCACTCGCGGAAAAGTATATAAAAACATATACTGTCTGTATACGATTGTAGTGGTCTATACTCCAACCAACACATGCATGAGACAAAGGATGGCGCAAATGTCACAAAGTTGTTTGATTTGTGATTTCCCATCAGATTTCATCATCTCACTACACTAAACGAAACATGAACAGAAGTGGTAGCAGTATCGTGAAGAAGCACCTGAACAGTAGAACAGTCAATAATACGACTCATATTCTGGGAGATGGTGCCACCAATGCTGAAGACGAGCTTGGACATGACTTCAAGCAAAGACTTCAAAAAACTTTGTCACATGAAAAAACGGACAAGACCAGGAGAGACTACCGCAATCGAATTCTAAGAATGACAAAGTATTTTCAACAGAAGTGCTTCAGATACTTTGAAGTTGGTGTGCGCAAAAACGCATCTGCAGAAATGAATGATCCGGCAATGTTTTTTATGATAAGTACAAGTATGATCTTATTTATGCAGGTCTAAATGTAGATTATGTTCTCAAGTTTCTCATGGATCAAGAGAGAACTGCAGCAGGCAATCTGCGCACCAAGGCAGACATGCAAAAGTTTTGAGATGCTATCTAGTGGGGTGCCCAAATCCGTGGCAAAACACTGTCCCAAGAGTGCTAGGACAAATTGGATCTTTATCTTTTCTCCTACAAGCGACAGGTTGCAGCTGGGAAGAAGAATGAGGATGTCCAAACAAAGGAGGCAGACCCAATCACAAAAGAGCTTTACATGTTAATTTGCAAGTGGGTGTCTGAAGATGGCAATACAATTGTAGACTTTTGGACAAAGACTCAGTGGAACTGCATGAGCCGTTGCGGCAACATTGACTACCTTGGATTCAGCAACTTCAAAATTGTTTTGGATGCACATGCTGTTACACATGACACTACAAAAAGGATAAAGATGGCGATAGATGTTTTGCTAAACACATTTATGCAAATCATGAGTATCACTATTTGTGCCAGTGGACAGCCATGGGTAACTACTGTGCCTTGTACAAAAACGAGCTTGGACAAACTCAGAAACTTTTCATGTGGAATACCAAGGACGGCAGTGCTGCAAAGAAATATCAAGAACAGCTGAAAGCTCTTGTGAATAAAACTGAGGAAAGGAGAAACATTGTTAGTTCTCACTGTCGAAAAGGGCACTTCAATGCTTACGGTTTGCGGAAAGGAGCCGCAAGCTATGCAAGCTCAGGAACCACATGTGCCCCGTCCCTTTCTTCTATTGCACACCGTGGTGATTGGTCAATGGGCTCCGTCTTTGACATATACTGGAGATTTTTGCCAGTTGGCGATCATTACTTGGGCCAGATACTATCAGGAAAGGACCCAATGAAACCATCATTCAAGACCTTACCTCCACATTGGAAAATGGCAAATCCGATGGGCCACCCACTGATCCGCGAAGTCATGAACGCCAACTTTGGTCCCATCTTAAAAACACATAGTGAAGCGGACTATGATCCTACAGGTTTGTTGTTGCGTTGCCTAGCATGCATGGTATGGCATGCCAAGTCGTTCCAGGAGTACATTGCCCATAACCCAAGCAACGAACTTGTCAAGGTTCCATTCTACAACATGAGAGGATCAGAAATTGACGCATTGCAACAGCTTATCACTGTTGAACCAACTCCCGATGTCATGACCACTGTTACTGGCGTCCCGCCACACATTGAAACAACTTGCCAAATGAAGGCAATTCATGACAACTTAATACAGTTACTTGCACAAACAAGAATCAGTGAGGACAACCAGAAGCAGCGCGACGAGCAATTGAAGGCAGACCTTGTTGCGGCTGTTCACCATGGAATAGAGCAGAATGCAATTTCGAACGGCAACATTACTGCAAAAGGTATCAATGACATCATTCAAAAGCACCAAGACGCAACAAATAAACAACTTACCGAACATTTCAAAGTAATGCTTAGGAGCCTGCCTCCTCAGCTCCAAGGTTGTCAGCCAGCTCCGATTCCGCCACCTGGAAATCAAGTTCAGCAAGGGGGTGGATTGTTGCTTCAAAAGCCTGATCAAGGAAAATACATTTACACCGACAGGTTCTGGTCCGTTCCAGAAGGCTTTGAGTTCCCTCCAAAGCCAAACCTTCCCCAAGCGCTTTGATGCTGGCTCAAGGGTATAAGGTATGGCAACAATTATGTGAAACCATTTTGCCAAAGGACCTCCCAACCACAGCACTCCAGTCACAGATGCGAGTTGAATGGCACAGATTTTTCAAGTATCTCAAGAACAATGGGTTAGAAATGCCTAGTAACACAAGCGAAGAAGCGACTGAAGCACAATTGGAACGTACTACCAATGAGATGTGGGACCTTTTGGAAAAAAATGTTTCCTATGCATTCACAAGAAAGAATGCAAAAAGCCACTTTCTTTCTACTTTCGCAAGGAAGGTATCGCCATCAGAAATTGTTAAGAATGGAAATCCGTCAGATAAAACTTACTTGGAATCAAGGCAGAAGGCAAAACCTGCCGCACTACAATATAAAAATTGAGTCCGACCGCTGGCTAAAAATCCAAAGTACCTCAGAAGAGGAAAGCAAAAGACAACAGCAAATGCAACAAATCCAGCAAGATTGCAACAGGCAATAATTCATGCAGGAGCGGGTATCTTGCTTGAGCCGATAGACCACTCGCCTCTTGTCTTGAATTTGACTCGATATTCAATTGAAGCAAATGCAGAACAGGATCGAATGATGGAAGAGTATGGTGTTGATCGTGGTCCAACTGGGCCTCCAGCTGTTGCCATCGGACATCACGACCAAAAAACACACACAAATCTTCAAGAACTCATTCACAGATTTGGAATCAGGCGTCCATATCCGCCAATATCAGTTCCAGGACCACTAGGACCATGTGCTTGTGCCGGTTGCTCCAAAGAGTTGGAACTTGGGCGACACCGATGTGCCTGATGCAACATTGTCATTCACAATAACTGTGCGATGGATCGAAATTGGTACATGCACAAATAAAGGTCACCGTGCTATTAGATACGCACGCATAGTCTGTACGCGGTAACATACAGAATCGGTGATGGGCCACACACATCATCTCAACTTTCTGGATTTCCTTTTACGAACGTCTATCAACTT